GTCCGCGATCGCGATGCACACTCATGTAGCCAAAAATCGGTAACTAAAAATGGCCTACAAATGATCTGAAACCACCCTGAAACTCACCCGAGGCCCCCGGGACCCCATATGAACATACCAACAAGTCCCATAACATAACACAGACATGTTTGAGGCCTCAAATCACATCAAATAACACTAAAACTACGAATCGCATCTTAAATCGAACTTATGAACTTTCAACTTCTACAACTCGTGCCGAATCATATCAAATCAACTCGGAATGACGTCAAACTTTGCATGCAAGTCCCAAATGACGTAACGGAGCTATTCCAACTCCCAGAATCACAATCTGAACCTGATATCAATAAATGCAACTCCCAGTTAAACCTCTCAACGTTCCAAACCCTCAACTTTTCAACTTTCGCCAAAATGCATCAAATCAACGTACGAACCTCCAAATCTAAATTTGGGCATATGCCTTAATCCAAAATCATCATATAAAGCTATTGAAAATATCAAAACACCATTCTAGAGTCGTCTACAGAAAAGTCAAACTTTGGTTAACTCTTACCACTTAAGCTTCTAAAACAAGAATCATTCTTCCAAATCAATCCCGAATCATCCGAAAATCGAACCTAGCCACACACGCAAGTCATGATACACAATTCAAAGCTGCTTGAGACCTTAAGCCATCGAACGGAATGCTAATTCTCAAAATGACCGATCGGGTCATTACAATAGTCAGATATATCGATACCCGATTGAGGCCAACATTATAAATATGAGGGATTGGATCTAGAAAGATCCATCATGTTATTTTTTTCATATCTCTCTTTTTGTAATAAAAATATTTTCTCTCTTTCATGCTTGAAATCCTAATAATATTTTTTTTTTATTTTTGCTCGATTCACACTATTATCATGATATCAAAGCAGAGGTTTCGATAGGTCTCGTGCTCCTTCATCATCCGATCTTACCACCTACTTGTTTTGCCAGAGTTTTCTCTATTTTTTTGGTCGTCGGTGATTCCCTGGAGTTTTTGGTTGCTTAGTCGATTTCTTTTGTATAGTTCGTGTCATGACCCAAGCCGCCACCAGTCAAGAAGGCGCCTAACCCACTTGCTAGGTAAACCAGTCATAAAATAATAGTGAAACATGATAACGAACTAAATAATAGATAAATTAAAAGAAAAATAACCATAGATAATGCCAAATCATAATACAACTCTCCAAAACTGATGACACTGAGTCATGAGCTCTACAACACGAATACAAGTCCGAAATACAGAAATACAGTCTGAACAACATTAACAGTAAATAAACATAGGAAGATATGCTAAAGACTGCTATGAGGAAGTAGTTGTACCTTAGTCTCCAAAACGCAGGGAGCAACTCCACTCACAAAGCTCGACTGGATCCAACTCCTGAATATGCACAATTAAGTGCAGAGTGTAGTATGAGTAAAATCGATCTTATGTACTCTGTAAGTATCATGAATAACTTCGACGAGGTAGTAATGGCAAGAATTACCAATTATACTCACCTATTAATCTATTCAATTCATAATTATACAAGTACACATCAATGGTACAAAACTAAGCATGAAGCACATGTATAACAAAATTAGTGCACATAGAAAAGATGTGCCAAGTCTTATAGCATTTTAACAACTCAGCATATAGAGAAGATATGCATTTATCACCAAATGATCATCATCATTTGCATATAGAAAAGATATGTATTAAAAATCAAGTCTACGTGCACATGTTAACATATAGAGAAGTTATGTATTGTGCCTTCACCTTTCGGTCAAAACAACATACATACAAGATATGTATAAAGAGGTATGTATACATTTAAAAACTATCACTTAGAGAAGATATACGATAAAAAAACATGTATACACCCAAGATATTTGCAAATAGAGAAGAGATGCAAAACTCAAATACTGATCAGTTTTTCTCATATCACGTGTACGTCATCATGAGAGAAACGTGAGAGGATGAACCTAGGGGAATAGATTATTATCCACACGCTGCACGGATAACTCACGTGCCATTATATAACAACCTCTCGGATCACTCATATGCTATCATAATTCAAACTACACGAACCACTCATGTGCTACTAATCACGTCCATATTTCACAGAAAGCATATAAAAAAATACAGGTATACGAACAATGAATATCAAATCACATACTCATGTACTGATAAAAGTTACATGCTAAGGTATATGCATATGCAAAGTATGCTACTATAGCTCAAATTAGGCGAATACACCACAAAATAGCAATTTTCATGTTTAACTAGGAGATTAACCTACACATGATCTCTAGTATGATTCAAGTAGCTCACGAAGAGGTACAAACATATGAAGCATGATAGAAAGAAGCTTAGTATTCAATACAAGAGATAACATAGCCTAAGCATTATCTCGAGCATGGATAAAAATCAGGTGCACACACACATGCTCATCCCCCGCATGTGCGTCAAACTCGGCACGTAGCCATCATCAATAATTCAAATAACTAGTATTTCAAACCAAAGTTAGGCAAGATACTTACCTCAACCAAGTCAATTCAGTACTCCAAAAATATTTGCCCTCGTAAATCGGTCTCCGAACGACTCGAATCTACCCAAAAAATAACTCAATAGCATCAAATAAAACTATAGGAATCAATTCTAAACAATAAAGGTTCCATATTTACATTTGTATGTCTCACATATGTTTTTTAAGGTTCAAATAACTCATTCTATTTTATAAATCATTATTGACTCTTATTGTTTACATTCTTACTCACATTTTATTTAATAAATTATATTATTTATTATTAAAATCACTAACCTTTGCTTACATTTTTCAAATAAATTCTACTACTTTTTTTAATCAATTGTTAATAACCTTAGCCTACATACATAAACTTTAACATATAGATTTCTTTAATAAATTTAGGCATTAACTTTTCTTTAGAGTAATATATAAAATAACTAAGAAATAAATAGTCATCCTTCACCTTTTAGACTAAGTATACTTCACAAGGAAATAACCAAGCGAATCACATCCACGAAGGATTATCCTACCTGCGCCATTCCACAACCTACATGTAACAACCGGGTGAAATATAACACCTCCAGCAAATTTCTTGCCCCAATCAATCTCGAACTCATCCTCCTCAAGCAATAACTAATCCACTTGCGCACCGAAGTCCAGGACTGCAACAACACATATGTTATGATTACTTCGTAACCCTTATGGGAAGTTTAAACTACTTTGATTGGACTTCTTCGGTTGAGTTATGGTGCAAGGGTCAAGGTGTTCAAAATCACTTAACCAAAAAGACCGGTGAGGAAGTTGAAAAGGCTAAAGCACTTTAGGAGAAGATCGATGCCCAGTTATATAGTATCATGTGGTGGTCTATTGACAAGTTAATGCCTTTGTTTCGTCCATTCCAAACATGATATTTAGTTTGGGAAAAAGCTCGCACTTTATACACTAATGACATATCTCATTTATATGATGTGATATTGCAGATGAAAAACTTGAAGAAACAAAAATTAGAATGTCTACTTACTTGGGATAAGTGCGTACAGTCATAAAAAAAATTAAAAAGTTGATGCCAATTTCTACTAGTGTTGAAAAGCAGCGAGAGTAACGAGAGAGAACCTCTAGAAGACAGGAGTGGATTTTTTTATGGCTATAAATTAGTGGCGATCAAGGAAGAGAAAAGTGCAATACAGATGTCTACGTGTTGGGACGTAGACCAATTTTAACAAAGGGTGGTTTACAATGAAATGATAGAATTTACCCTTGATTGCCCAAGGGATTTTTACTTATTATATAGTTAAAATTTTAAGAGAAGCATGTGAATTTTGGTGTTTAATTTCTAGCTATGAAACATATATAAATATACACCAATGATATGTGCAAAAGAAAAAAAAAAAAGATCTCTCATTAATTAAAATAATTTTATCTAATAAATTTAAAATTTGAAACCAATTGAGACATAAATTAACTTGTACGAAAATTAACTTAGAATTAAAATCTTGTAATTAGCCGTTCAATTTTTATGTTAATAGATTTAAGGATTTTAGTTATTTTAAAATAAAATAATGCTTTCACAAAATATACATACAAATACTTATTTCCAGCGTTATCACTTTTAGCCAAACATGTAAGTGCTGCACTTTAAAATTGCTTTTAACCCTAAGTGATTTTAAAATTCAGCTCCAGCACTTCAAAGTTTAGATTATCATGTTATGATTGAACAACAACGTGTTGCGATTTACTTTCTCATTGCCAAACAAACCATGGTTAGATTAAACTTTTCATTATTTAATGATTAACATAACAAATGAGATATTCTAATAATAGTGTGATTATGTATATTTCATAATAATTAGTTATGAAAATTAATCGAATCATATCGATACAAAGAGAAATCAAGATGATTGGTACTATTTTAAAAGGCATAATTTTAATTATACACAATAAAATAATCAAAAAATAATTGTGAGAAAAATTTCTTAAGATAGCCAACTAAACAAACACCATTCATACTCCCCTATATAAACTAATCAAAAGAGTTGCATGTGTTGATAATTATGTGTGGTGCATCTAGCCATACCTTCTTTCCAAAGGAGCTGCGCGTGAGTAGGGGTACTAATGGATTTCTCCACCTAACTTTGTATTGGTTAAATACTAAAATTATTGGAATATAAGAAGGAAAAAAAGAGGAGATCATTCGAATATTACAGAGGGAAGGTTATAAGAGCGATGCTAAACAGTGTTCATGTGCACTTCAGTGAGTTTAACGTTAGTCATAACAGTGTTGTGGGTGTTTCATGCTAGCTAGATCCTATGTGCTCAGGATTTGTAAATTATAGGACAAAATGTGCTTAAAGTTATATTGGAAGGACAAAATTAAATATACCCTAAAGATAAGGGGATAAGTTTGGCCAAAATCTCAAATAAGGGGCTCCAAAAGAAAAAATAAAAATAAAAATACTAATCCTCTGCCTTTGTTAGTCCTACACTTTTTTCTTCTTTATTCTTCCTTCACCTCACCAGTACTACTCCATTTTATACCCATTAATTAAAGATTCATAATTGTGACATTCAAGAAGATTTGAAGGATTCGGCCAAGCTCCATTCGAGGTAATCTCATGGTTCAAAATTTAAGTCAGTGGGTTATTTTTTTGTGAATTTTGATATTTTATTCTACTAGTTAATTGGTGTTATTTCCTATTATCATTGTTGGTGTGTGATTAGATTCATTTGCATTAATCCATATGGAGGCGGACTCATGATTTAAACGTGATGATTTAAAGTTGGATTTTTGAAATTATGGGTTTATAATATAAATATTTGCTTAAAATTTTCATGTCGCAATATTGGGTTCAGTTGTACTTGTACCCAATATAAAGTAAGGTTGTTGCTGACTTATGAGAACTAAAAAATCATTTTTCTTCTTCCTCTAATTGCAAAGCTTTGGTTGTACAATTTCATCTTTAAAAAAGAAATAAGGTTTTCCATTTGATGATTTTTTGAAAGAGAAACCATGAATTGAGAAAACGACATGACTTGAGCAATTACGTTTTCTTTTTAGAGCTATCAATCAATGTTGGGTCTGCATTGGTGTGTGTTGAATCATGTTGTTGATTTGGATAAATTGTGTAATGCATTAACCAAACACCAAATGAAATGGACTACAAATCTTATTGTAAAATAATGTTAATTATATCTATTAGCTTTGTGGATGTGAAAAATGAAGAAATAAGAGAGCTAACTACTTATGGATTGATTGGTGGTTAGTGATATGGTAGAAGGGATCCTCATATAAGATTATTAGGTCGTGTACAATTAAGAAACTTCAATATTTCTAGGTTTTTTCGTATAGATGTCTCTGCACAAGGTTACTCTTGATAGATTGAAGGATGAGTACTACTGCATCCCAGATGCTGCAGATTGTAAAAGAAACATCAGAACATGTGATGATAAGACAATACAACTTGAACGATTAATCTCCTGTAGCCGCCTAGATTTGTTAAAACCCCAGCTAGTAACCTGATTTTAAAGGTATGAGGTGAGTCAATTGGTAGACAGACATATCGGTTTCGTTCAAGATATCCAATTGCCGAACTAAGCAATTTCTATACCAAACAAGTTCTTAAGTTGTCCAAAGTCTTTGTGGTATGAAAGTTAGTAAAGTGGTGCGGCATTAGTACCTCAATCACTTCCTGGGAATCTTTAGTCATAATAATATCATCCATATGAACAACTAGGTTGGGACACAGACGCCACGTAGGGTGTCAATAGAAATCAGAATGGTCCGACTCGGATCCATCATTTGGAAGAAGGAAACTAAATAGCTTTTGAAGGGTTACATTTAAGGTTTGAAAGTTGGGGTAGTGCGGAATTTAACAAAATAGCTGTTTAATGACAATAACAAAGACAATAACGAGTCAAAGGATTTGGAGGAGGTTTTGTATGGTTGAAGTTTGATTTGGTTGGAGATTTAGAATCTCTTCTCCTAAATGTTTATGGACATTCTATGTTTCCTTTTACTTGGTATTTCAGTCAAAATATTGGTGGTGTGATGATTTTTATTTTTTAAATCATAAGCAGTTCTATTGATGTCGTACTAAGAAAATTCTAATCTGATTGATCAGAATGACAATTTATTTCACTCTTTTTTTTTTCCTTCCAATCTCTTCTTATTGTATGTAATTCTTGAGTAATATGTATAGAGTTGGCATTGGCACCATGGCTAAATCCAAAGCAGATGAGAAGATTCTCGGCTACAACGATGTTGTTCTCAGGCGATCAGATTTGGATATTCTCAATGGTCCTAATTATCTCAATGACCGCATCATTGAGTTCTATTTTAACTATCTCAGCTCAAGCTTTCCATCTGACGACATATTGCTGGTACCACCTTCTATTGCTTTCTGGATTAAGGAGTGTCCTGATCCTGCAAGCCTGAAGGATTTCATGGAGCCACTTCATCTTTCTAGAAGGAAGTTGATTCTCTTACCTATCAACGATAATTCTGATGTGTGCATGGCTGAAGGTGGGATTCATTGGAGCGTACTGGCTTTTGAGAGAAACTCCAATGTATTTGTACATCATGACAGCAGCTACGGATTCATGAATGAGTATCACGCCAAACAAGTATACAAGGTTACTCTTCCTTATACAGCGTCCAGCGCCATTTACAAAGAATGTCCAGGCACGCCAAAGCAAGTGAATGGTTATGATTGTGGCGTGTATGTCTTAGCGATTGCACGAGTCATCTGTCAATGGTATGCTAGCAGTGGAACCCAAGATGCAGATACTCTGTGGTTCTCCCATTTGGAACAGGTCAGTCCAAGTGCTGTTTCTACGATGCGTAATGAGATTCTGGGTTTAATAAAAGGTCTGATGGCTGCACCTAAGAGTGTGGCGTAACCTCAATGAAGTGGGTGAAAATTATGGATGAATGGTGCTTAAATTCCAGCATAGACCAAACACACTAGGTAATTTTTTCTCGTGTACCTAAGTTTTGTGGCAAAATTACTCGGTACTTGTGTTGGTGGGAGATAGCAGGTACGGAATCGTCAAGGTGTGCACACGTTGGAATTGTTATATTAAAATATAAAACTAAAAGGCTTGATGACAGGGAGGTGCTCATGTTTCAGTTAGGAGTTTCTACTTGGCAGATAAGGGGTTTAGATGCAAAATTCCGGACTTGGTACTTTTATGCGCCTTACGTGTACTGGTATTGTAAAGACTTCTTTAAGAAGTTCATATTAGATTGTCAGTTGTCTCTCACAATTTTGTTGATATTTCAATAGAAAGCTAATGGAGAAAAAGTAGGGAGTACAGAATCTCAGTTTTCATACAATAATATTGAGTGATAAAGTGTAGTGATCGGTAGTACATATAAGGGGTCGTTTGGTTTGAATATAGGTTATGTTAGGGATAAAGTTATGATGGGATAAATTATGCTGAGATTAGTTATGCTGGGATTGTTTTTTATCCACTTTTGGTATGTTGTATTAAAAATGACATTTGCATAATTTCTAAGAAGAAGGTATAAGTTATCCCGACACTAACTACCCCACCCCCTACAAGGTATAAGTTATCCCGGTATTAATTTTAATCCCGGGATAACTTATCCCAGGTTTGCTAACCAAACAAATTATTAAGATGGAATTAAATTATCCCATCACTATTTGTACTTATACCTCATACCAAATGACCCCTAAAGGGTCAACTGGGGTTTCAAATGTTAAAGGGATTGCGGCAAATTGTGTGGTGGTGCCTCCGGTACCCTTGGAGACGTATTCAAAACGCTATATAGATTTAATTCAATTTTTTAGATAATGGAAAGGAATTCTTATTCGCGATCAGGGGCGGATGCACGATTAATGAAGCGGTGTCGCGGTGTCCGCTTCGTCGGAAAATTTTATTGAATATATGTATTAATATTGTAAGAAAATGGATAAGTAGGAAAAAATGACACTACTTGATATAAATTGTATCTTGGTGTATTGGTTATGTGCTTGATTTTGCTCTAAGAGGTCAAAGTTTCAAGCCTCAACTAGCGCATTTTTCTTTTGCAAATTTTTGAGAGAGCCTTTGTGGTTAAAAATTGTGATGAAGTAGAATTGAACTCAAGACATTTTCTAACTTAAGACTCAACAAAATCGATAAACTAATACTATTTCTTGTCTAGAAGTATGATAAATAAAATTATATTCCAGTTCTTTTATAAATTCTGACACCGCGTATAAAAATTCCTACGTACACCCCTATTCACGATGAGCTAAAGTTCGTAATAGAGATGCCGGAGTCATGGCAGTTATCGAGTTCAGATTAGACTTTTTTTGAGAATGTCTTCTGGGATAGTGGCGGGCCGTCGGCAATGGAAGTTGAACAAATGATGGGAGATGGGAAAAGTGGTGATCATTGAGTAGGCGATGAAGAGAAATTTGTGAGCGGTAATGGTGGAATGGGTGAGGGTGACGGGAAACATGGTGAAATGAATTTTAAAATGTGTTTACAAATTAAATAATTAACAAAGAACATATGAGAAAGGTTAATCTAGTCACATCATAAGTCTTTACATTAATGATAATTAGGTTAATAGAATTGTTACATAAAAAATAAAAAAAAAATGAGGTAAGCATAATATTTTTGTCATGCCCCAACCTGGGGAGGCGTGGCTGACACTCGGTGTCGTACTGGCCCGAGTGAACCACTCTGTAACTCATGATCGTTCGATGAAAACTAGAACATACATAGACCGACTTGGATGAACTCATTCTTTCTGTAACTATCATGGGCCAACAAGGCCACAACTCGTAATGTATTATTATAAGTGGGCAAACACTGTACAACGAACCATCGTACTCAAAACATGAATACACATGGGACGCCAAGGCCTCTGACATACTGTACATAATGAACTGGTGTATACAAAGCCTCAAAGAGTATTTGACATCGAAAGATGGTCGGAACAGGGCCCCAACCTATCCATAAGTCCGTAACAAAACTCTGACACGATGACTTATAGACTCGGCTGCACTCCAAATGAAGTGGAGTCTTAGTGATCCTTCGCTGATGCTAACCTCGTCTATTATGAGGGCTCGTCAAACTGATTACCTACACTTGCAGGCATGAAAGCAACGTCTACAACAAAAGGACGTTAGTACGAATAGTGTACTGAGTATGTAAGGTGGAACTGGAACATAACAATAAGCCAACATCAATGAGAGATATAAGAATCAATCTTAACCTCTAAAGTGCCACAGCGAGCCATGATATTCATACTAATATTTAATGCCTCTCTTTGGGACTAATATCCATATCGTAACATGACTGCCTAACTGATATGTGGTAACTGCCCGACCGATCGTAGCTCTGTGGTTAATGCGTAACTGCCCAACCGGCCGTAGCTCGGTGGTAAATGCATGACTGTCCGACCGGCAGTAACTCGGTGGTAAATGCGTAACTGCCCAATCAGCCGTATCTCGGTGGTAAATGCATGAAGAGCCTTTTATGATCATTAGGATATCTTTATCGTATGCCTCAATAGGGACTTAGGAACATACTTGGACATGCTTTGAATTACATTCACAGGAATGAATAACATAGACATCCTTAACTACTAAAAGTAGAACTATTTATGGAATAACTTTACATTTATGTTTTATTACCTGGATCATACCAAAAGAAGGAAGGATTAGCCTTAACATACCTTTGTTGGTAATGACTCAACATACACTGCCCGTAGTACTTCAACCTACATCAAGGTATTAGAACTATGGTTAATACCATAGAAGAGCTTAAAACACATTTCTAAGCTGGTAGATCTTTTAAGGAGAATTGGGTAGCACTCCCCTATATTTCCTCGAATTCAAAACAATAACAAACAACAATATCAACAACTAATCCTATCTATTCTGCCCCTCAACAACGTAAGATTAATTCTAACTTCAAACAATAGTATAACGAACGGCAAGCTCGATTGTGACTAAACCACTATAGTTTAAAACCTCTTCTCCCTACCAGAATTTATCAACCACATTAACCGCCGCATATTCAATCATCCCTACTAATATTTAGCCACAATACAACTTTAAAACGACCCTATAATGGTCCCACAAGTTCAACAACTCAAAATTAATTTTTCAGATTACTAAAACACGTTTCCAGCTTGTCTTTTCTTTCAAATCGAGCAACGCAACCAATAGTACATAATTAATCCTCTTCTCACATAAACCAACCATGAACTCAACTTAAAAATAAGTTCACAACCAACCAACAGTGACGCAACAACAAACAGCATACTACTCTTTCGAAACTTGCAAGTTCTAGTCTTTACGATTGAGTTACAACTCGTAGAAGCTTTGGTAAGGGAAAGAGAAGTATAAACTTAACTTGGACTGAGTAGAACCCACGAAACCAAGTTCCTCTTCATCCAAAATCAGTCCCCCAATGCAGCTACAAGAAGGAGAAAGGAAAACTAGCAAGTTGTCTGGGTTTGTCGGCACTAGAATCACTTCGTATCACCCGAAATCACCTAGGGTTTGTTTGGGATTTTTGGGAGAGGTGTAGCAGGTGTTTTACCCTAGGTTTTGATCAGGAGATTATGTTTAAAATGTGAGAGAATCATCTCATATAAAGGGCCCCTTGGACGCCCTCAATCCGCCCCTTTTTGGGATTTATTTGGTCCCTTCATTTAAGCAAGTAGGTGATGCACCTACTTGTCACATACCAGTCTGCACAGTCTCGCAAAAATGCAAATATCTCTGTACTCCGATGTCGTATTGACAAACGCTTTAATGCGTTGGAAACTAGACTCATAGGCCTCCAATGTGGTGGGTGGGTCTCCCCGTAATGCCAAGTATATTGGGATAAAAACTTATTGATATTAGACCCAAATTTCAGTAAAATTTATGAATGTAACTTGTGATGACTTTCGTCTACTTTTGTTTAATAACTCTCTTGAGTTCAAAACTTAACACACGACTATCATACGACTAAAATATATCATAACATCACCTTCTTATCATGTTAATCACCCTAGTCTCACCCAAAGTACGGGTTATAACATTCCCAACTTGCCGACTTTCCATGAAATTTATTTTCTTCGATTCATTTAGCTTCTAAACCTTCCAACCCTCTGGTACTTGTTGATCATGATCTTAAATATTTGTAACCTCCAAGGTAAAATTATTAACTTACTTTATATACTTTCAAAGAGGATCTCATTTCCGATCTTACATCAATTGACTTACGACATACTTTTATATACGAAAACATGTGGTGTAACATTATTCCCCCTTTGGAACATTCGTCCTCGAATATTGGTTGATGCTCTTATCAGTCTCATAACCTACAACTCTTAGGAATACTTTAATATTGTCCTTGCCATCTAGGCAACTGTTCTGTGAATTAATCCAAAGGCCAGAGCATTCCCCCCTTTAGGCCTCTTTCTCACACCACGACTTGTGATCGTAATTCTTCAAATCTCATAACTGTTGCTACCTTCTGTCATGCAGCCTTGTAAGGCCACGTAAAATTTCGCTAAGTAATTTAAGGTTTTGTAGTGCCGAGTTTGGCTAAAGTGTTTAGAGGTAATAAATTAATCGTCGTGGCTCGCAAACTCACCGCGGCACGGACTTTTTGGGTTAAAGAATTCACTAAATTGTTGATAAAACATTTTGGCCGGAGAAGGTGATTCTGCGATCAATTTCGCGACCGCAGAACTGTTTCACGGGCCGCATAAGCATCGCGGATTTGAGTTGAAAATTGTTGAATTTTGAAGATCAATGTGCGGTCCATTCTGCGACCGCATATTCGTTTTGTGGACCATACAATCCATCGCAGATCAAGTGCGAAAATTTTCAGAGGGAGATTCTGCGGCGCATTATGCGACCGCAGAACTGGTCTGCGGACCGCAGACCTGCCACAAACCCAACCAGAACAGCCCAGTTGTTGGGACTATTTCTGCGGTCCATTTTGCGGGCTGCATAGCTATTCTGCGGTCCACTCTGCGACCGCAGAGTTGATTTTAGAGAGTCCATTTTCTAATTTTATAGCCCGACTCTATTTTGATAAATAGCCTTTCGGGCTTGTTTTGAAGGCAAAAATCTGATATTTTTAGAGAAAAGTGAGAGTGTTCTAGAGAGAGAGAGGAGGAAGCTCAAGTGCTTTGTTCATCAAGATCTTGTCCAAGCTTTGAAATCCAACAAGTAAATATCACAAGATCTTCACCCAAGAGGTAAGGTTCAAACTCTAGTCTTCAATTTTGAGTTTGGGGTAGAAGATAGGTAATTGGGAGAGTGATTCTTGGGTATGAGAGTTGCTATTTATATGTGCATGTATCTATGAGGATTGGGGGGGGGGGGGGTAATTGAGCTAATATGAGTAAACCTTTGGTATTGAATGGGTTGTGGAGTGAAGGAAGTCTTGTAGAAGAACCTTGTAGTCAAATTTGCACACCTAGTGTTTGATAAAATGCTCAAATGAACTGAAACCATGAATATCTTTCTAATTATGATTCAATTTT